AAACGCAGTTACGTTAAGGAGAGCCACTGTTGCTGAGGATCTCGTTAGGAGTGGCCCTGACCCTAGACGTAGCGATTCTATGAAAAAATACTGGTGAGAAGCAGGCGAGCTTCGCCCACAAGGTTCACACAGACCAAGCTGTTTCCCCAGCCGCCCAGGCCTGTACACAGCCCTCGTGTGCTGTCCTGCTGTGCACAGCCGAGAACTTATCCAGCCCTTGCCGTGTGGTGGGAAAACAAACACAAACATCTCTTCTGTATTTTAAAAAGTGATTATTCCAAGACCCTTTTATAAACGTAGAGTTGTATTGACTATGACCTTTAAAATTTATTATTTCAAATACATGAGCATATCTTAATTTTTGCGTGAAAATTTGCCCAAGACTCACACTTCGTGTTTCCACAGTGCCAAGTGGAAGCTTGAAAGGCAAGCCAGTCAGCCTCTTCAGATATTCCCGGATGTCTGATACCGCGAAGGATTATCCGGGTAACTGATGGGCTTAGTTTTAATCTGAAAAATTTGATATTGTGCCTGGGAAAATATTTTTCGAACAGTGATAGAAAAATTGGTGTCTTGCCATGTGTTATGGGCTGAATTGTGTCCCCCCCCCAAATTCATATGTTGAAGCCCCAGGACCTCAGAATGCTACTGGCTTTGGAGATGGGGCCTTCAAAGAGGAGAATAAGTTAATGTGAGATGTTAGCACAGACCCTAACCCACTCTGACTGCTGTCTTTATAAGAAGGGAAATTTGGACATAGACACATACAGAGGAAGGACCACGTGAGGACACAGTGAGAAGGTGGCTGTCTGCAGGCCGAGGAGAGAGGCCTCAGAAGGAACCAGCCCTGTGAACGCCTTGATCTTTGACTTTGATCCTCCAGAACTGTGAGAAAATAAACCTTTGGTGGTTAAGGTTAAACCAGTTGGTGGTATTTTGTTATGGCAGCCCGAGCAAGTGAATACACCATAATACAGGGGACCCTGGAACAACACGGGTTTGAACTGCTTGGGTCCGTTTATATGTGCATTTTTTTCAGTAAATATATTGGAAAAATTGTTGGAGATTTGTGACAATTTGAAAAGACAAACGAACTGTGTAGCTAGACATGCTGAAAAAATTAAGAAAAAGTTAGGTATGTCATACATAAAATATATGTAGATACTAGTTGACCTTTACCTCAGCATGAGTGATATTTAATATAAAATTAATAATGTGTTAGTTTTCTTACTGTTTTATGACTTTGCTTTCAAAGAATTTCATTACTGTACAGCATGCCTCTCTCTTTCTCATAAAGGGAGAAACTGCATATCAGCCTATCATCACAGGGAAGTGTTTTTTTAAAAAGTCTAACACTGTTTCAATACTGTATTATGGATGTAACTGTGATACTGTGTGCAGTAAAATTTTTAATAACAATTCATTCATTAGTGTACAAGCTAAGCTACCATGAAGCAATCATACTGCTGCTTCTTCATTATCAGTGCATGAACCGTTATACCTGTAAATAAATATGTACTTCTTTTTCATGTTATCTTTTCGTTTTTGATGTCTGGTGTTAGGAACACATATAACATCTATAGTGTTTTGTATCGTATAAGACAATTTTGATGTAGGTACTGATAGATGATTCATCTTGTAAGCATACTTCTGTATCAATAAACACAGTACAATACTGTAAATGTATTTTCTCTTCCTTGTGATTTTCTTAATAACATTTTCTTTTCTCTAGCTTAATTTTTAGTAAGAATACAGTATATACTACATATAACATACAAAATATGTGTTAATTGACTGTTTATGTTATCGGGAAGCCTCTGGTCAACAGTAGGCTATTGGTAGTTACGTTTGGGGGAAGTCATAAGTTACATGCAGATTTTCTACTGCATGGAGGGTCGGGGCCCCTAACTCCTGCATTGGTCAAGGGTCAACTGTATAGTGGGAGTTGGGTGTGTAGAATGTTCAAGAGTTTATCAGTTTGCTTGTCAATCTGTTTACTTCCCTGCTAACTTCATCTTTCTATTTAGAAATTAATTTGTATGAGTGGATGAAAAGAAATTTAACATGGTTTGAATTAAATCATTAACAAGATAGATAGAACTCTTGTTAAAAACAAGTTCAATTTTCACCCCCAGAGATGAGTTTGAAAACACATTTTCAACAACTTCACGCACTCCAATTAAATAATATTTTGAAAAAAATCTGTGGTAATCCTGGAGGAACTATACAGAACTAAGTATTCTTCTGTCTTTTAAGGCATAGTTTGGAAATATCTAAGAATAGCTGTTGTTCGCTACTATAAAAAGTGATGTCATTCATTAAAAAAACAAGTCTCGGTGAATTTGGGTAATAGAATCCAGATGAATTCAGAGAATGACCTTAATCATCTTATTGCCCGAGAATATTTATTCTCAAAAATAACTAGAAAATGTCAGATGCTGAATAAATATTAATAACTGAAAATAAGAATTCCTACTTTGCTCTTGTGAATGTAATCATATTATTTTCCATGCTGTCATCTCATACATATTTTCTGTTACACATTTTAATTTTAATTTGCCCCTTTGGAGAAAACTATTATTATTGTCAGCGCTACTGGAAGACAAAAGGCATGTTCAGGTAGTCATATTAAATAATCAAACAACCAAAAGAGAACAAGGAAAATGCCAAAAACAAAGTCGCCATTTTAGAGTTGAGTAATAGATGGTTCACACTTGCCATCAGTGACATACACAGAAAATCCTGTTTAAGGTGCGCTGTGGGTGGTGGGCATGTTCTGGCAAAAGCACTCTAGTCAATTGATGTTCAGTTTGTTATGTAATTAAACTCATGAAAAGGACACTTTTGCATATGAGTTAGGGACTTATACCTGCAAATCCTTTTCAGAAGTGCTAACTGCGGTGGTTGGTCCTTTAATGTTTAGACATTAAGTTCTATCATGAGTCAAAGATTTCCAATTAAGTTATTAACTACTGAGTGTAGCTATTATGTTTTTACAGAATCCAACAATTTTAAATGAAACTTAGAAGTGATTAAAAAAAAAAAAAACGCACCAAGCAGAATCAGGATACAGGGAAGAAAAACACTCCATCAAGAGTTATGAAGTAGCAAGCAGAAAGCTTCCAAAATCCACAAAAAGGAGAGACGTGTAAATAACAAAGTTCCTGTTAAAAATAAGAACCAAGAAAGAATTCTGAAGAGCAAGGGAATTCTGCAAGGGACTTTACAAAAATCAGTCAAGTTGCCAGAGGAAGGGATAATAGCAAAGTAAATCGCAAGCTGCTGCTCAAGTGCTGAGCTGGCAGAATAAACCTATTTCATTTTCTTTCTTGCAGCTCAGGATTCTTTGTGCAGGTTGTGAGGCAAAAGCAGAAAGCTTCAGAAGCTCTCGGGAAATGACACAACTTGGGTTAAGTATGACTTTTAGGAAACTTAATCTGGTCCCTTAGATAAGATTTTACTGTACTTGCTGCAAATTAGACCAGGGGTCTCTGCTGGCTGTAAGGAACGGATGGAAAGAATGTTGAGGTCACTTTGGGGCCAGCAATGCCCCCATAGAGCTTCCTGCCATGATGGAAATGTACTATGTCTTCTCTGCCCAACACAGAAGTCACTGGCTATGCGTGACCACCGAGCACTTTAAATGTGGCCGTGCCACTGATGAACTGAACTTTACATTTTATTCCGTTTTAATTAATTCAAATTTGAATCGCCTGGTGTGACCAGTGGCTACAGTGTTGGACGGCGCAGGACAGATCCTTTCCATCCCTTTAACTGAAGGCTGTAGACCTCATTTTACTATGTATCCTTGGGTTTTCTGGGATTAAATATTACCCAAGGCTTCTGGGACCCCCCCCCCCGGGGCAGGGCGATCATATCATCGTCCAAACTGGGAGACTTTGAGAAGGACATGGAGTGTCAGTAACAGTCATGATGAGACGAGAGGCCCAGGACACACAGGACGGGACGGGACGCTCCCCCATCCACAGGGTTGTTGCTCGCAGGTTCTAGAGGGAAGTAACTAGGCTTGACTTCACTTCTGTTTAGGTGGCTGCTACAGATAATGTTTAAGTACCTTCTGGGCACACATTTTCATCATATCATGATTTTCTTTGCCCCCGTAAACATTTACCAAAGTCTTTATAACTCACCTCTACTCTCCCAGTGACCCCCGACCACAGAGTACAGCAATGTCTAACAGGATGCTCAGACCGGAAGTACATAATCCATTATACTGATGTCTGAGCTTAGACTGAGTATCTGGGTAGCTAAACTGGGTTGGATATTTTCAGCTTTCCTCAGGCTTTCTGGTAAGAGGCAGGAAAAGCCAAGAAGAGCAGAGGCATTTCTTTGCAGTCACTCTGCATTCCCTGACAGATACACGTTCTCCCAAAGGGATGACACAGGGCAGGCTGAACAGCAGCAGTTCATTTAGTCCTGATCCTGGATTGTTTGGGGGAGTGGATCCTGGAAATACGAGTTGCTTGGGACCCTCTCAGTTTTCTGCCATCAGCAGAGGCAGTGTATTACAGTCAGACTTTACAATTATATTTCAGCAACCCCCTGCAGAACACACAGGCTTCCCATGATCAGAAGTCAACCTGCTTTGAAATAGCAAAGACGGACTCTTCTTCGACACGAAATACAGAACATGGATTGAAGCACCAAGACGTACAAATAATTTAAAAAATATAGTTGTATCTATACGCAGAGGTCCTTAAAGCAACAAATTCACACAACAAGCCAATTCTCATGTAATCTGTCCGGTATGGCCTGGCTTTTCAAATCCCACCCACCTCTTATAACCCACCTCGTGTTGAACACAGTCAAGTTTTGTATTAAAAAAAATACTTCAAAATTTAATAGGCGTGTGGATGAACAGGAAAAGAGAAAGGAATTATTGCGGGAGATTTACCTGCAGGAAAGAGAATTTAGCAACATTGTGATTCAGATAATCAGGGGGAGGTTTCAGAATCATTTTGTCAGAGGTTTTCACCAACCTGATCGCCCGAATGACAGTTTTCAGTGGTGGGGTGAGGTCCTCCACGGACACGTCACACTGGCATCCTTTGTCATCATACACGTCGTCGGTGCCAAGCGCCGTGTCAGCTGCAAGAGAAAAGGGCCAGTTAGGTAGCAGCATAGCGGCAATTTAAAACTTGTTACCGATTTGGTCTTACGTAGGGATGGCGGGGAATTCACAGACTCGGCTTATAAATCAACACGTATAAGGTCGGCCAATTGTTTTTCCCAGTATTATTCTTTCCCCTTTTCCTGCAACCTAACCGATTTCACGTGGTTTGACATGACTGCCTTTCTGAGCTGTTTTCCGTGGGGAAATGGGGCTGCTGACACACTTTCTTCCCGGTAGAGGTGATGGATTTGTGTCGATTCACTCATGCTCTTTTGCCCAGTTCTTTTGAAACTGACAGCCAGGGTTTAAGTAACAGCTGTTTGGAGTTAGGAAAGCAGTTTTTGGATATTTAATGAACTGGCCTGTATATAGAGAGCTTGGAGCCCATGCCACTGACCCCAGTCGTCCCACACCCTGAACGAGTGTGCTAAGCGTTCGGATCCAAGTACACGGACTCCTTCTCGGTTACTGGACATGGGCAGCCCAGGACAGAGCTTGCTGGTGACAGCACTGCCAAGGCCGAGGGCAGATTCTCAGACTGGATAAGAAAATCAGTTTCCCGTAAACCGAGCAAAATAACTTTCGGCTTAAATGCAAAGTTTGACAAAAAGGCAGGGTTACAATAAACACCAAATTACTAAGAATTTATAAAATTAATAAGGAATAAGCATATCATTGCAACTTGGTTTTCAGTAACAGAATATTGAAAGCAGGTTAAAATTCCTGTAACGAGGAAAAGGTTAAATAAGTACTGGTAGGTTTATTTAATGGAATATTGAGAATCTGTTAAAAATGATGACTAATGACTGGAAAACTGTCACAATATATTATTAAAGAAACAATCTATATCTGGGATTAAGAATGATTTTATTTTTTTCTGCTTGGCTATATTTTCTAAAATCTCTGCAATGAACATATATGATCCTGGTAATAAAGTAACAAAAGTGTACTCAGGAGAAAAGAGTTACGTAGCCTCCAAATACTACTTGAACCTCTTTATTTATTATTTTGGCCGCACAGCTTGCGGGATCTCAGTTCCCTGCCGGAATCCTAACCAGTAGGCCACCTGGGAACTCCCCTATTTGAGCCTCTTTAAATGTTGACGTAACGAAGGGACTAAAACTACTTTCTGTCTCCTGCCCTGATTAGTGATCATCTACTACGTCATAAACGAAGGAGACTTTGCCATGGGCTGTCCTGGTTGGGTTACAGGTCCTGAAACGCCGGAGGAGGCCCGTGCACTGGAGCAGGGCTCACATCCGGGATGCAGTTGGTGCATCGCTCAATTCAACGATTCACTGTGTGTTTACTCGGTTTATGGTGTGCTGGGAACAGGGGTGGTGTGGGGAAGAGATACAGATGGGTCTTCACAGCTCTTTGTCATGGTCGCTCTGGCCTTCTGACCCCAAGCCTCCTAAGTGGGTTCTCGAGAACCACCAACTCACAATAACAATCATGACAGCAACCACTCGCTGAAATGAGTGCCAGGCGCTTAGACAAAGCTTCTGCACATACTAGTTTTCTTATTTACAGCAACTGTACAGGTTGGTGATGCTACGCCTGGTTTTTAGACGCTGATACGGAGGCTCCGAGAAGGTAAGCATAATAATTAAACAGCATAAAAGTCAGGGCCCTTTTATTGTTGTGAGGTTAGTGGAAAACTTTTTCCGCAGGTAGGTGCTGTCACGATAAGCACAAAAGTAAAGACAGTGAAACTACAATGTTCGCAAGTGGAGCGGGGAACGTCCCAAACGGCGACAAGACAGTTTTCTCCCTGCCCCCGTCCTGCACCCCAGTAAGACCTTCTGTCTCTCTGTCGCGGTTAGCATTAGGCTGGGCAGAGAATGGGAGACATTGTATCCAAAGCCATTTTATTAGGGACTTTCATTATACCACTTATAACTTGATTATTCAAGGCATAAATCAAGCTCTCAGTCTTTAAAAAAAGCTTTTTCTTTTTGTAAGTTTGGTCAGGGCGAACTAATAGGAAATACATCTTTGCTGCCATGTGTTGAAGCAAGGGCTGAGTTAGAGAATTTTCCCCCTTATTCCAAAGCCACAAAAATGGGGTAAATGCCATCTTTCTGTTTTATATGTATCTTGAGATGTCCATATTCTTTCCAGTGAGGTTAATGACAATTAAATGTTCTTCTCATGATTCCTAGAGGCTTAAAACCCGCGTGACCTCTGAGGCACCTGGGCGGGGCTGAGCTTCCAGCCAAGGCTGGCTCTGTGCTCTCTGCTCTCCGATCACACTGCTGGCCCTCTGCCCTGGCATTTGCAGAATGTGGGTCATGGGAACAGGAGCTCACGTGAGCACCAATCTGCAAAAACCCAGTCCTGAAGGGCTGCGTGCCAGTGGCGCGCAGTGCTCCCCAAGCCGTGCTCCACGTGGGCGAGCCTCTGTGTCTGGTGGGCCTGCCCTGTGCGCGCCCCGTCTGTGCTGGGAAGAAAGGAAGCTGAAAATACAGCCCTCTGTCTCCCCCAAGCCTCTCTGTCTCCTAGTAATTAGCTGTGTTCAAGATTTGCTTTCAAATACTTTGTTCCCCCAGGTTTTGGAAACTCTATTCCATAGTTTTTGCAAAGAACCACCTGGACCTTACATGATAGAGAGGAGGGAAAGAGAAGATTCTGGAAACTTCTGCTATGTCCAAAGACCGTCTTCCTGTTCCCACTATAAATTTTGCCATCAAGATGCAGGTGTTTTCGAGAAAAAGGACAGGCAGTTTCTGGTTGTTTCTCTTTGTCACCTGCTCTTACAGATTAGATTTCTTGACGAAATGATTACAATGGTTTTCAGCCTTGGCTGCATGTTAGAATCACACCTCAGTACTCAGGATGGGCTGGAACCCAGGCCTCAGAGTGTTTATAAAAGCTCCCCAGAGGTGTCCATGTGCAGCCAAGAAGGACCACTGACTGGAAGTGGAAAACAGTGCCCCTGGGTTCCCCCAGTTGGAGCCGAGGCATGTGTGTGTGTGACCAGTCTGCCATCGGACTTGGGCTCGTCCCCATGTTTCCCCTCGCATCACCAGTGTATTTTGCACAGTTTGAGACAATACAGGTGCTTCCCAAGACAAAAGGAAATAATCACATCATAAAAAACAGAAAAAGAAATCCCTTACAAGCTGGTGACCTGGGAACAGGTCTCATCACCTTCCTGTTCAGCCTGGAGGCCTCGGCTTTCTGAATTCCAGCCACTGTTTTCCACCCCTCAGCCACCTGAGACCCGCTCTGCAGGCCGTGACCCTGTTCTCTTTCAACGGAGTCACTACTGTTCTTACACACAAGAGACTCACATGTTCAGAGACAAAAATAGAATCAAACTGTCAAAACCTAGCAGAAAACATTTGTTTGTCTGTGGAGGAAACGGTAATGGCCTGATGTTTGGTCACTAAGAGGAATTATAAAGGAGACAGCTGACCGCCTTGGTCATGAAGACAGAAAATGTTACCACCTGAAATGACCAAATTATAATGCAAAGAAAAGTCCTGATTAGGAAAAAACTGAAAGGTATAAAAAAGCTTAATATTTATAATGTATAAGAAGCTTATTTGAATGGATCACAATCCAAAATATTAATGTAGTATACAAATAAGTCAGTCAGGAAAGACCACCAGTAGCAAAAAATGATAGAAAACTTTTCAACCTAACTAGAAATTAAAAAAAAATTAAAATTATTTGAAAGTATGGACTTATACTTATTTAGTAGCAAAAGAATAATAACTAATACTAACAAAATTGAGGTGACTCTGGTATACTTTGACATTGCTAGTGACAATGTAAATCAGAACAAAGTTTTATGGCAAGAAAAAGTTTAAAAAAATTTAAAATCAACAATCTTATAATTTTATACCAGAAAAGTTATCTTTGGAAAATAATTTCAAAAAGAAAATAAAGATAGCTTAATGTAATAATTTTTATTGCATCATTGCTTATTGTAGAGAGATAGTTATATAAATTTCAATGTCCCAAAGTAGGAAACTGTAAATTATAGTATTTGACCATGCTGATGTACTACACAGCTACAAAAATGATAATTATGAAGAGTACATGGTAGTATGAAAGTATTTTTAAGTGTTCAGTAAAATTAAAATATGAAACCAAATACTCACGTTGATTAGAACTATATACCATGATATATAAAAAGAAAAGCAGCTAGAAGTAGAAAACCAGCAAGAAGTGAATATATAAAAATGAAATTAGCTGTATCAGGGCACGAGACTATAGATGATTTACATTACTTTTATTGGGTTGGCCAAAAAGTTCGTTCAGGTTTTTCCGTAAGATGTTCCTTAAGGAATTTAAAGATTTTTTTCCATCACACAAAAATATGTTTTTTGAAATAGAGTATTTGAAAAATAGGAAAACAAGTAGAACGAAGAAAATAAAATCTTCCCAAGTTGCACAACTTAAAGAACTACTGTAATATGTTTCTTATAGTAAAAATGTGAAAGCAAGAAGTTCGCAATACATTTTAGGCATTTAAATGGACCACGTAATGATTCTTTCTATTCCACTGTGCTATAAGGAACACACATTGAAAAGTCCACTATCAATGGTGGTGATAACTAATTTATTACAACCTGTTATGAAGTATAATTGATTTTCCAATTCTGCTGCTGCTTGTCTTTCAATTACCTTTTCCCCACTATCATTTCCGATACCTTTAAATATCATCTTAAATTTACAGTCTCCACTTCAGCCACGTGCTAGTTCAAAGGCATCTCCTTTAATCCAGCTGAGTTTAGAATAACTGCCTGGGTCCTGATGCAGCAGCACGATATTATTTTGCTACGGCCTTGTTTGGGGACTTTCCTTCTGTTCTGTGCTGGGTGCTGCTGTGTCCTCAAGACACTAATAAGAAACCCAGAAAAATACTCCAGATAATATATTTTTTGTTCTAGACTTTTGCCTTTTCAAATAGCTTTTATTTTAACTTTGTTTTTCTCTCATTATGACAGTAATGCATGCTTCT